TGTCCTTGTCCTGCAGGTGCGGTCTCTTTGGTATTTGGTGAGGTGAAACATATTGTGCATCTAATTCGATGGAACTTGAAAGCCGTTTTATGCCAATTGGGGCAAGACCTGACCGCGTGCCTGGAGTGGCTTAACGCACGACTTCTAGGTTTAGGGACTGAATCCTGTTGTTGTTTTTGTTTTTGTTTTCACTAACTAGTTCCCCATTGGTCCCCTATCTCATGCTCTCCTCCCTCCCCAGGTAGGTTGGTTCCGCCGCGTGCTGAGGTTTTGGTAGGTTTCCGCCTGGGCAGGTTGGTTCAGGCGCTTCCGTCTTCCCCCCCCTCCGCTGGTCTTGGTCCGTGTCCGTCGACCCTCCGCTTTTTTCTTTTCCCTTGCCTTTTCAGGGTTCGCCCGTTCCGGGCTAGGTGTGTTGGTGTGTGTTTTCTCCTTCCCTCTTCTTTTGCGTTCCCCTCTTCGCGTCCTGGTTAAGTAACTTTCATCTCATTTTCACTCTCATCTCATCTTTCTTCCCCTGTTCATCCTCATCTTCATCTCATTTTTACGCGCACCACCCTGCCGGAGGCAGGGTGTGTGTGTGTATCGTCTGAATAGACGTAAATTCTTATACTTTATATATCTATATGCGGGGGGTCACCGGGGTCCCTGGGAGGTCGGTGACCAACGAAGACACCTCCCGGGGACCCGTGTAAACGTACCCGCGGGACTGTGGTGACGCACCTGGGCGCAATTGTAAGACGCAGCTGGTGGTCACCATAGTCCCATATATATATATATCTATATATATATATATATTTCATCCATATCTAATTAACTAATCTAATCTGCATGTTACAGGACTCAGTTCCTGCCGGATCATATAATGATCCATTCTTGTCTAGTGTGTGTATGTGTGTGTGTGTGGAACATCTGAATAGATGTAAAACTTCTAACTGATGATGTCGATTTTTGCTGCTAGTTAGGCTTTTGTTTTTTCACGTCATGATGATTTGCCAATCTCAAATTTAGAGCAGGGGGCGACAGGGTCGCTGCATGGCTGTCGCCAACGAAGCTCCATGCAGTTGCCTAGGATATGGAGTCTGATCAACTCCACGTACCTGCTTCATTTCTTGGTTATGGGAAGTGGCTAACCCAAAGACCACCATGCCGTTAGGAAGACCACGATTTGGCTTTGTTTGAATGAGCTGCATCAGAATAATTTGATTCTTTTAGCAAGGACATGGAATGATTTTCTTCGCACAGTCTCTCACTCCTGATCATCCAATGTCTCCTGTCAGGTTTAACTGAAGTGTTTTTGCACGTACGATGCATTCCACATCAGAAATTCGATAAGATGTTTCTGAGCAAGTGTGTGATTCATGCTGGATTCGTCAAGGTGGCATGAGCCCCTCGGGGAAAGCCTTTCTAGCATAAACTTGACACGTTGAAACGATCTCTGAATTGACACTTTTGAATTGGTAATTCGTCTAAGTATAGTGAACTGTTGGCCTTACTTCATTTTCACCCATCGGTCGAGTGCGTGTTGAACTGCTGGCCGCTGTGCTTGGCTCCACCATTTTCCAGAGATGCAAGGGTTTGTAGCCTGAAGCCACGACAACAATCCTTCTGTTATCTCAAGAGACTGACCGCAGCCCTTTTCACATGAAGGGCAACAGGACATGCTTTCCAGGTGTGGTCACTTCTTTTTGGTTGATTTGGTGAGGTTCAATTGTGCACGTAATTCAGGGGTTGAACACGTAAGCTGTCCAGAGGGTTGTGAAATGAATGCCGAGGGCCTTGGAGCCTTATCACGAATTTTGCATGCAATGTGGATGCATCATATGAAAGTTTTGTTTTAGACTACTTAACCTGACAGTGTCGCCATGTTTCCTGGACGTTTTCCCCAACGTCCCCGACACGATGTGGAACTTTGGTTGGAACCCGCAGCCTATGGGACTTCAAGGTCAATTCTGCGGAGGTGACATGATGAATCAGCAGTCACAAGCTCAGTCTCAAGCTCAGACTCAGGCTCAGATTTCCGCTCTCAGGGAGCAAAATGCGATACTCAATCAACAGCTCACTTCACAAGCTCAATCCCATATCCAACATCTTCAGCAACTCATTCCTTTCCAACGATCGACACAACAGGTCCAAGCCACATCCATTCCACCTACTCCACAACCGTCAGGACTTCAAGCGCCAGATCCACCTACACCAGTGGCACCTCAAGCCACCCAAGCTGGGCCTACTCCATCCTTCAATCCTGAAGAGATGATGCAACAGATGAAGCACACAGTCGAATCCAGCATTCAAGCTCTGGTGGACAAAACTCAAGAGCGCAATGCCAACCAACCTCAAGCACCACCACATCCACCAGTTCCAACCTTTCCCCACAACGTCAGCCATTTCTCACCACCTGTAGAACATCCACCATCCAGCCACCGCTCCTCACGTCGATCTCGCTCCCAACGCCATCGTTCCACATCAAGGAGACATGACAAACGTCCAATCTCCATTCCTCGGAGTCCTCGTCGTCGAAGATCGCCAAGAAGACTCCATCGCTCCTCACGACCTCGATCCTCTTCCAGGGATCCTTCTACTTCACGACGTGCATTACGCCAACCAAGCAGAGGAACGTCCATCACTCTACGCTCCGCTTCTCCACACCGTCGAGAAGGAAGACATCGTGTACAAGATCACCAACCACCAAGTGAACCATCCCAGTCACCAGCTACTCTTCAACCTGCATCGTGGGAACACCACCCACACCAGCCATCATCCAACACCAATACCCATACACACTCCTACCACTATGACCACTCGTCCACCCACAAGTGGCAATCATGGGGGCAATGGAAGGACTATTCCAAATCCTCAGAATCATCCAATCAATCCAAATGGATTGACTGCTCCAAATCAGCACACAGTTACCACACTCCTCATGAATCCTCCACCAAACCACTCACGGCATTTTCCTCCGATCACACATCCTCATACCGGGGAATGAACAACCCCCTGCTCCGGTCAACGTCCCTCCAGGACACATGGCCATCACCCTCCAAGAAGGATCCAAGGAAGAGTGGTTCCGCGGAGTCACTTTTGCCTTACGTCACCCTGATCGAATGAGAGCGGCCAATGAAGTTGCACCAGAAGACAAACCTCAACCGTCGCAGACGATGGACATCACGGACTACGATCGTGCGGTTGAAACTTTGAGACAAGTCGACAGCCGCATTCCCCCGGATGTCATCAAAAAAGCGATCCAGCTGCTCTTCAGCACATACCTTCTTCCTGACTATGACCTCAGGAGAGCCTATATCCTTGACCTTCCTTCCGCCAACATGCTTGCACTCATCTTCCCCTTACCCGAGTCCAGTCACTATCAGATGCCACCCATTCCACAAACATCATAACCACACTTGGGCACTCCTCCACGGCACGACACTTCGTACCTCACAGCTCATCCTTCTGGAGGGCAAGATCAGACCGGCCAACTGGTCATACCACAAAAACCTCCAACGGTGTGACATGCCAACCTTTGGGGCCTTTTACCTTGGCAGAGAGGTATCCAATAGCGACAAGACCTTTCCAGATTGGGAAGCAAAAGAGCTTCTTGACACCATCCAAAAGAAAGGGAAAGGACAACAGGATGTCGTCATTGGGGCGATGTATCGAGGTGCACGCCAACACACAGCCTTCAAAGCTGGTGGCAACGAAATGGCACAACTCTCCGTGGCTGATGAAGGAATAGCCACCACGTCGGAGAAGTACACGATTGCCCACAGCAATCATGTGGGGCTGAAGTTTGTTGCCTTGAAGTGGCAAAATCTGACGGACAAGATCGAAGGACAAGATCGAAGTGGGCGACTCATCCTCAGAGGACTTAAACTAACGCAGCATGCGTGACCCACGCACTAAGGATCGACACTCAGGTCGTTGAGCTAACTTCCAGCAATTTTGCCGCTGTGTATTACTAGATCTTTTCGGCACCACCCGGAAACCGGAGTTGACATTTCTAGGGAAACCTGGACCCGCTATTGATCCAACTAGACGACGGTTGGCCCGAGAGCGAAAAAGATGTTTTTCAAGCAGCTCTGAGGATGGTAATCGTAAAAAATAGTCGGTGAATAGTTGGTGAATTTTATATGAGCTATGGAAAGATATGGTGTGAAAAAGTAAGATTGATTAAGAAGAGGATACTTGGTAAAGGGCATCAGATGACACGTGTCTTGCAACCACAGAGAGAAAGAGGGAGGAGTGAGAGAGAGAATGAAAGGGCGGTAGAACTCTTTCGCTAGAAATATAATGTGAGCAACAACAATGCACAGGAGGCTCGGTACCATGATGCTGCGAACGACATGTGCTATCTCATTTTACTATGGTAATTCCTACACACATTGCCCGAAAAGCTCGGTACCTCGGATGTGAAGAAACGCGACGCTCTTATACAGAGACGCTTTTACACACACAAACGCTTTTACACACAGACACTTGTACACACAGACGCTTTTGCACACAGAGGCTTTTACACACAGACTCCTTTACACACAGACGCTTTTACACACAGACACCTTAAACTTTACACACAGACGCTTTTACACACAGACACTTTTACACACAGACCATTTTACACACAGACACTTTTACACACAGAAGCTTTTACACACAGTCACTTTTACAGACCGAGATTTTTACACACGGACCCTTTTACACACAGGCACATTTACACGCAGAAGCTTTTACACCAAGAGGCTTTTCCACACAGAAGCTTTTACTCACAGACTCTTGTACACACAGACGCTCTTATGGACAAAACCCGTTACGCACAGGCGCTTTTACAGGCCGACGCTTTTAGAACACATACCAACACGAAATGATGCTCTGAAATCGCAGTGAAACGTCGTGGCTCAGAAGTGCCCACCTTAGTGCACAGCACAGCGCTGAACACATTCCACTAATTAGCCAAAGCCCCCGGACCAGGCATGGTGGCTGCCAAGCCAAGTCCAGAGCCAGCCCCCCAGGTGCCATCCACCTGCCGGACCTGGAGGCAGAAGAGTGGGCCATGGAACCAGAGATGTACGCCTCCGAGACTATGACATCACCTGGGAATGCCGAGCTGATCACAGCCATGCAACAGAGGATGCTCAACATGGAGAACGCCCTGACCAGAGTGATCCGTCACTTGGAGAGCACGAGCGGAATTAAAGACCATGCCAGAAGCTCTGCCCTCGGACAGTCCATCGGAGTGAAGGAGGACTGGGAAGACTCCATAAACACTGTGATGCAAGATGAAATCATGAGACTGCGTAGGCTCATCAACCAGTTTGAACATGAACTGCATACCGCCTCCAAGAACCATCGAATCATGGGAAAGCCCATCAGTTTGTTAGAAGTCTTTTGCAGTGCCAAATCACCACTTACCCATCAAATGCAATGTCTAGGACATCAAGCCATGCGGTTTGGATTCAGTGAGGGAGATTTGTCCACCGTTTCTGGTCGTGAGAAGCTCTTTGTAACTGTAATCCGGCATCAACCGCACCATGTGTGGGTAAGTCCAGACTGTGGCCCTTGGTCCTCATGGTCTCGTCTAAATGAATCCAGGTCTGTAGACAGCAAGGAGATGTATAATCAGAAAAGGTCCCAACTTTTGTACCAAATTGCACTTTGTATCGTGTTGTTTCGCCACCAACTGTTGAACAACCGAGAGTTCCATTGGGACCAGCCTGCACGATCACTGATGCTGACCCATCCAGGTTTGGCCGAGGTTCACTCTTATACCAAAGCATGCCAGTTTGACATGTGCCGGGCAGGAGACCTCAAGCGCCCCCTAAATGGGATGATGATGAAAAAAGGGATGGTTGTTCTCACCACCTATCAAAGACTATATCAAATACTCCATGGTCAAATTTGTAACCACCAACATAACCACCAACCAATTGAAGGAACTACAATAACCAAAGATGGTCCCATTTCCAGAACTGAATACACCGCCATTTACCCAAGAAAATTTGCACGAACACTGGCCAAGACCTTGGGGAAAATCTATGCCGTTCCGATGCGTTTTCCATTTCTGCAGGTGGACCCTTCCACACCAAGGGATGATTACGCACTGACTGGTCAAATCCGAGTCAGGAAGACTTCCAATTTTGCCAGATCCGAATTGATCTCACCAGAAGCCCAAAGGGAGCATGAGAGCAAACGCCGTAGACTTGCCGGCAAACAATCCGCAGGTTTGCCTTTGGAAAGCTTCCAACAGGTGATGTCCGACATTGCCAAAATAGTGCCTAGAGTTGGTAAGATGGAAATCGATAATGCCAATATCATACAGCTATTACAGGAACTGTTCCCGGATAAACACATAGTCAGGGTAATAGCTTGCAGGGGCACTGACAGGACACTCGGACCCCCAGAGAGAATGAACTCACAGGAAGCTCCTTGTCGGAAATGCCTCATGATACATCGTGCATCAGGTGACATCAAGATGGAAAAGTCATGGGAAAAATGGGATCAACTGTCCAAACGCCAACTAGTTAGACCATCCCATCCTTGCAGAATCAATGACACCATGTTTGCCCGAGACATGACCACGGTGAGATCAAATGAGACTGCCACGTCCAGCAGTGTGGCCCCGTCTTTTGTTCCCCAAGCTGCAGTAGAGCCTGGCGCGAGTAATGTGCCCGATACTGCAGTGGATCCTGAAGCCGGCAGCCGACCAGAGGCATGTAGAATCTTTTGGGAATCCCAACACCTTTCAATCTCAAGAACTGCCACCAACACCCCAAAGAGAAATCAATATCACCCAACAAAATGGAAGATTCCATAGCCTACCTAAATGGGAACAACAACAAATAATCCAATTACACAAAAATCTGGGCCATCCCTCAAATGACCGACTTGCCAAAGGGTTGCAGGTAGCAGGATACAGATCAGAGATGGTTCAAGCCGCGCTTGAGCTCCAGTGTTCCATTTGTGCAGCCTGTGCCCCACCAAAGCATCAGCGTCCGGGCACCCTGAAGCCCTTGATGGATTTCAATGACCGCGTCTATCTGGACGGAGTGAAAGCATTTTCACTTTTATCATGTGCTTGATGCTGGTTCAAACTACCATGTTGCCATGGGTTCACCGTCTAGGGAGACCAAAGACTTGATCAACATGCTCAATCAGTTTTGGATCAGTTGGTCAGGACCACCAAATGAAATGCAAACGGGCTCAGGGACAGAGATGACAAGTCATGATTTTCACAGAGTTCACTCAGCGTTTCAACATCAGAAACAATGTGATTCCTCCAGAAGCTCACTGGCAACAAGGTAAAATCGAACGACATGGTTTTTTTTTGCCAGAAATGTTGACCAAGGTGGACCTTGAAAATCCAATTGATGATTACGAGTCTCTGCAAATGGCCCTCAACCAATGCACTCATGCAAAGAACTCTCTCAGTGTACGCAGAGGATACTCCCCAGAAGTAATTGTCTTCGGATAGCAATCACGTGTAATAGGTTCTATCCTTAGTGATGAAGCAATTCCTTCACATGAGACTGCCTTGAGAGAAGATGACCAAATCAGTACAAGAGAGTTCAAGCAGATGCTACAGTTGCGAGGGTCCGCACGTCGAGCATTCCACCAAGTCAACAACAGTGACGTGTTGCGACGGGCCCTGCTTCGAAGAGCTTGCCCGAACCGTGGCAACTATCAGCAAGGACAATGGGTCATGATTTGGAGATCAGGTCAACACCTCACTAAAGGTTTATGGCATGGTCCTCAAAGGGTCATAATCCAAGATGGTAATCATACAATATGGACTACCCAGGGAGGTAAACTCTACAGAAGCGCCCCTGAACATGTCAGGTTAGCGTTGCCGGCAGAAGGTCAAGATGACAGTTGCGAGTTACCTCATGATCTAACAGCCATTCACCAACAAATACAACGACTGAGCCAGACAGAATTTACCCATAACGATCCCCATCAAATTAACCCTCAATCAATGGACTCTTTGGAGTTTCCACTAACAGAAATTCCCCAGTTACTGTCCCATCACAACCTGAAGTTGAAACTCCAGAGATGTCCCGAATGAATAGCCAAGCTGAAACTGTGCCTCAATTCACAACTGGATCCAGACTGGAACGTTGACCAAAGTTCTCAAAAACCAAATTCCCCAAGACCAAATCTTGAAATGCAGATGGATACTAACCTAGAAGCCTTTAGATATCATTGGTGACAATCCCGAATCCCTGAATGCCAAGTCACATAAAGCTAAGGCCAGATTGGTGGTATTGGGATATCTTGACCCCAAGATTGAGGAAATTCCTCGTGATAGTCCAACATTAAATCGTACCCCCAAAATGATCCTACTACAAGTGATTTCTAGCATGGGGTGGGGACTAGAAAGCTTTGACATCAAAGCTGCTACAAGGTCAACCGCAGTCTGACCGGATCATGGCCATAGACCCAGTTCCAGAACTCCGACAGGCCATGAACATGGGTCCACATGAAGTAGGAAAGTTAAATAATGGAGCCAATGGTCTAATCGATGCACCTTACTTGTGGTACTGTGCCCTTGTAACCGAGTTGAAGAGAATTGGATTCGAACCGACTCCTTTTGACCCTTGTTTGTTTGTCATCCGCAATCCGGCAGAAAATGGAAAGGCTGGATCTTTAGCTGGTGTCCTAGGAATTCATGTCGACGATGGAATCGGGGGCGGGAATGAACTTTATCGATCGAAGATCAAGCTCTTGGAAGAGAAATTCCCATTTGGATCCCATAAGACATCAGCCTTTACTTTTACCGGTATAGAGGTGACACAACAAGGTGACAACAGTATCCATTTGAGCCAATCAGCCTATGTTCGCAAGATACCTTCCATTTCAATAGACATCAACCGTAAAACTTTGAACAACCAACCTGTCAATGACCAAGAAAGACTTGCCCTCGGAGGTCTTGTAGGTAGTCTTCAATATGCAGCCACTAACACCAGACCCGACCTTTCCAGTAAACTTTCATTTCTCCAATCAGCCATCAACCATGCCACGGTAGAGACACTGCATGAAGGAAATCGATTACTTCATGCAGGCATGATCATCGTAGGTACTCATCGAGACATTGCAGACAACCGCCAGTGTCCGATAAGTCCGATAGCATGCGGATGTAAGAAGATCCAAAGAGTTGTCACAAGCACACTGGCAGCCGAATCAACTTCGTTAGCTTCAGCGTTGGACCAACTGGCATGGCTTCGAATCTTCTGGTCATGGTTGCACGATCCTAGCGTGAATTGGAGGAAGCCAGAACAAACTTTACCCCAACTTAATCCTGCCATTATAGCACCAACTTTCAAAACCACTGCTGATATTGCCATCACAGATTGCAAGAGCCTTTATGATTTAACTACACGAACAGCCCCTCCGTCATGCTCAGAATTTCGTGTTCAACTTGTTTCCAGAGCCATCAAAGAAGCCCTATCCGAGGGTATTATGCTGCGATGGGTGCACTCAGGCGCACAACTTGCCGATGCCCTGACCAAACAAATGGAGTCTCATTTTCTTCGAGAAACGTTAAGACTAGGTCAATATCGTCTTCACGATGAGAATGCCATTTTGAAAGAAAGAGCAAAGGCAAAAGATCGCTTGAAATGGCTACGTGAGCCATCTGATGCATCCAATAAAAAAGAAAAATAGGGAATGTGATTTTCCAATGTGATACCATGGGTGCATCAACCGACACTCCAGTGGGTCCAATGGGTAATCAAAACGGACCTACCTACATTCTCTCGCCGGGTGTCCCGGAAGCAGAGACTAGCCAAGGTGCCGTCGTGCAGTTCCCGGTCAGGTCAAAACTAACTCTCTTGCAAGACACTGTGGCTCAGGTGTCCCGAGGTGGGAGGGCAGTGGTAGTGTCTAGGCACCATAGGCTGCATTGCGACCGGGTTCGCATATTGGAACGTGGCCGTTCCATCAGAGGCTTGGGAGCCTTGACATTGCTGCTGCTTGGAAAACTCAGCTGCGCTTGGTGGAGATCAGGTTGGGAATTGTGTGTGGTGCTACCCCACTTACAATATATATATATATATATAAATAAATATATATATATATATATAAATATATATATAAATGTATCAACCCTCTTGTGCTGATATGGCATCGGTTTCAGACAATATCGTTTGCATGAGGTACTGGCAAGAAAAACAAACGCCAACTGAATTCAGGCGGCGGTTCAAGAATGATGATGCTAGCCTAAGGTAATGACTCTTGGCCATGCCACTGTCTGAATGGTCTGCAACTATAGCCCAAGCCAGTAACTGACTATGCCAGAATCAGGCCGGAGCTCCACCAAATGAAAAATCACCTGGTTCAAGATTCTTTCACCATCCTCACACGCATATTGAATACCAAAACTTGATTGATGCTTGAAGCGTTGCATATGCATATGCATATGGTTGAACTGGACTCCTAAACTCTTCCATCCTTGCAATGGATGGCTCCTGGCTTTTTTCTGTATCTGATTTTGCGGGCATGTATTGTGAACCATCAACTCACAAGACTCACGAGTCTGCGCGTTCAAGGGTCTGCAAGGAGCAATCCTTCGCGACAGTGCTGCATCCTCCATGGAACTCGCTCTAGTAAAATCACAGAATGCATTCAGTGCACACTGCATCGTCTTGCGTCATATCAATACAACATTAGCGATAAAAACCAACAAGCGCAAGCAAACTGAATCAGAATGGAGATACAATGGGTCCAAGAGACCGAAGATGCACTTATTGTCCCAAGCCAACTACCTGGATCGTCTTCCGGAATCTTCCTAAGCCGTCCGTGTTTTTGATATACAGCTCATCCCCGATCACTGCAAGTTCCACTACACATCCAATTGATGTAAGCGAGTCTAAGGGAGACACGACAGCACTATCTATGCACATGAGTGCTAAGTGACACAGGCAAAAGGAGAGAAGAGAAGACTGGATCTGGAACCGTGACATTAAAAACAAATGAAGACAAAGTGAAAGCATCACTACCTTGGCAGTTGATGATGCCGATTTGCTGTGGCGATGCCATTTGTTTACCTTTTTACATCCTTGTATTACATATTTGGCTAAAAAGATATGTTCAATGTTTGTTTTTTTCAGGGCCAAGGACAGCACTAGTTTGTGGCTAAAGCTCCGTCAGCAATGGTAAGAAAGTGATAACATCTGAAACTTTTAATCTCAGCTCCTTTAATCTGAAACTTCCGCATTGAAACCAAATAGCCCGATATCTGCTTGGATGCAACATCAGTTGGCACAGAATGGTCTCTTGACTTTTCTTATAGGTCCTACTGACAAACTGATTTAAATGGATCCACCGTTTCAGGATGTCTTCCGGTGCTTCGCCCATCAGAACAAACCGCCAGCGGTTCGCAGCCCGGTGAAACCAAAGGACATCCGACTGGACCCTCGCGGTGTGTTTCATGATGTCTCATGATTTCAAAGCCTTCTGGTGCTGCTGCAGCATTGTGCCCTGATGTGAACGACTCGATCCTTTGGGTGCTTTAGTGGACAGCTTCTCCCATACAAGATCGCAGCGGCTCAAATAGATCCGCTTATTCGGTGATGGCCCGTCAATTCTTTCCTCATGTAAAAATTTTTAAGAATATAATGCAACGCAGGTGGCATGAGGGCACGAGATGTGATGATATATTGTTCTTTTCACATCTCATACCATGTCGCATTCTATAATATCGTGTGTCATTTTGTATGATGTGCTGGTCATGTCTGCCAAGAGATGGATATAGATAAAGTTTCCAGCCAGTGGGTGTATGCCTGGAGAAGCTTTAATCGTTCCATAGATTGTCTTGGACCTCAACGTGCAAACAGGCCGCAAAAGGCGAAAGGGTTCATCCAGGCAGCCAAAATGAATTCTTTACAAGACCTTCCAGCACATGTCTAGATATGTCTAGATTCACTAAAACAAGACTACACATGATTCAGTAGGATGGGCACCTTTTTGATCGCGTTTTAGCGGTTGTCAGTCATCTGCGCTCAAACATAGGGGGAAGCAACTATGATTGTGAAACTCCACCAGAATTGAATTGCCCTCCCCATGTCTTTGGCATGCAATTTTCAGCGCTGCCAGAATGGTTTGTACTTGGACAACTGAATTGATAATCCTCAAGACCCAAAGGCACTTCTTCAGGCATCGTCAGGCGTCTCTTCAACTGATTCAACTGGTCAACCGTGCAAAGCTTTCAACATATCTGCAGTTGCTGGGTCTGATCTACCGCCTGCACTGTCCATGGCGGAATTTGGGTCAATTGGCTTTGGTCCAGCGTGTGTGGTGACAGCTTCGCTCATAGTTTCTGCATGCTCGTCTTCAGAGGCACTGCCTTGCACCGATGGAAGGAACACAATCAAAACATAATAAGACTAAGTAGGAAACAGTCCTAACTTAAACCACTTGAACCAGTTGCGTGCTGATGCAAAGACAATTTTCATTTGGCCAAGTCACCTTCAATCTCCTCTTGTGGGATGTCTGAACCCACTCCGTTTGCATGGTTGCGCAAGTCCTCTTTGGTGAAGCGCATTCGATCCATCTCATCTTGCAGGTGCTGGACCTGGAAAGGAATGCAGGAAACAAATGTTTCTTCCACATCACGATGCCTTTACAGAGCGGAGCAGAGCGCTTGAGTGATATGACAAGATATGACAAGATACAGTATTACTTTTTGCAGAAAACTGATAATTGCAAGGCTAGATCGCGGTTGCAATCCAATGGTTGCAAGGCAAAACAAGAGCTCCAAGGGGTTGATGGATTCAGTCATTTCAGTACCTGTTGCCATGGATCCTTTGATCCGAACTATTCTACCAGGATCCTGCAGGACTCTAGATTTCTGAAACACTGTTCAAGTGGCAGAAAGACGCATTTCAGCCCTGAATCGCTAGAAGAAGAGCCGCATTGAGCCAACGCTTTTCTGGGCAGATTTTGATTGGCATCTTAAGGCTAGAGTCGGCTAGAGTAACGAAGAGCGCAAGGGAAAGGGTCACAGATCCTCAGACAACTACTTAGATCGAGACCATTCAATGTTAGAGAAAGCAAATGTAACAAAAATTTAATTCTACCAAGCAAGCTATGCAAGCTGCACTCAAAGCAGTCCTGGGTTGCAGTCGGATTTGCACATTTTGCAGAGATCGACTGGCATCTGCACAGTCAACTGCGTGCTTGCGTTTCAGGACATGATTAAAAAGGCAAGTCAAGCAAGGGCAATGTTTAATCGGAATATCTTAGCCGGTCGGTCTTCCGCTTGATCGCAACCATCAAACAATATAGAGCGAATTTTGATAGATGCACACTTAGATGCCCAGTACCTGGAACTCGGTATTAAGATTGAACTATAGTAAGGCTTGAAGATCTTGAAGTCAGCATTATTCCTGATAGAAACAACTCATTCAGCTGCCAAGCCATCAGGGACAACAAGGTAATTGAAAGATACTACAAGTGTTGAAGAGAGCGGGACGTATGAGATGCAAGTTGGGGCAGGCTCATACATATCATTCGCGCAGCCGAGTGTGACACTGAAAGCTTACGCTCTTGCCGGAACAGACCGAATATGGAATGGTAGCTATCCATGTTGGTCCATACTGGCCCATACTGAGTATTGAGTATTGAGGGATGGTCGCAGGCTTCAAAGGGAGCAGAGAGCAACAAGATTCACGAGTTCCGGACCTTCGTAGCTGTCAAGAAAACCATGACGTAGAAAGACATAGAAAGACGCACAATGTTGACAATGTTATAGAATGTTATAGAAAAACTGTGAAAAACTTGTCCAAGAGGAGAATCGCTTGCTGCGAAGCAAAAAAATGAACACGCATGGCAGGAATCCAGCATCTGCAGAGATGCTGAGGTACCATGCATTCAGCCGTGTATCTAATCAGGCTAAAGTAGATGCAAACGTTGCTTCCAAATGGAACGCGTATCCCCCTTGAAATTCGCCCCGAGAGGATGGGCCCACCAAAGTGTAGGGTGCCCAGCCTACCCCCTACAAAATGGTATGGGGACACCTACAAAATGGTAGCACCCATGGGGGTTGCTGCCTACAAAATGGTGGCCCCAGGGTACCCCACCTGCCCACCAACATCAAGCATTTTGGGTTAACATAGTGTCCAAAAAACTGTGAAAAATGGGAGAACCATTTTGTAAGACACAAAGCAACCCTGTGGTCGCACCCTGGTCTTTTTTGGGCGACGAATTTGTAGACAGTTTACTTTGAATGAAATTTCTTCTTAAAATCTCTCAAGCAATCCTTGCATATCTCACATTTTTGCATCTTGTGCATCTGGCAATCGGGTTTCAAAAAGTATCGTCCAACAGAAGTAGTCAGATAGACTGGACCGAAGTAGTGGTCATCGCGTTTTTTTTTCTGGACCGGGGCTGGTTTCAAAATTTTGGAGGCTTTGAAAACTTTGCGATCATCTCCACCACAAAATCCACATGGTCGGTTAATATGTTTTGTGTTCAAATATATTTACATTTGTGGATGTATTTATCAACTCCCCTTACCCATCTACAAAATGGTATTCCAAATCTTCTACAAAATGGAGGTGCCTGACACTGGCATATGATCTTGTTCTCATATAAAGTGATGTTGGGTGTGTATAAACAGGTCTCTTTCTACAAAATGGAGTGCCCCGACGGCAAAAAAAAAACAGAAAATCTGATTTATAGGGGGCCCAGGGCCTACCATTTCAAATGGGATGGGCCTACCAAAGTGTAGGGTGCCCAGCCTACCCCCCTACAAAATAGTATGGGGACACCTACAAAATGGTAGCACCCATGGGGGTTGCTGCCTACAAAATGGTGGCCCCAGGGTACCCCACCTGCCCACCAACATCAACTATTTTGGGTTAACATAGTGTCCAAAAACTGTGAACAATTTGTAGACAGTTTACTCTGAATGATTTTTTTTCTTAAAATCTCTCAAGCAATCCTTGCATATCTCACATTTTTGCATCTTGTGCATCTGGCAATCGGGTTTCATAAAGTATCGTCCAACAGAAGTAGTCAGATAGACTGGACCGAAGTAGTGGTCATCGCTTTTTTTTCCTGGACCGGGGCTGGTTTCAAAATTTTGGAGGCTTTGAAAACTTTGCGATCATCTCCACCACAAAATCCACATGGTCGGTTAATATGTTTTGTGTTCAAATATATTTACATTTGTGGATGTATTTATCAACTCCCCTTACCCATCTACAAAATGGTATTCCAAATCTTCTACAAAATGGAGGTGCCTGACACTGGCATATGATCTTGTTCTCATATAAAGTGATGTTGGGTGTGTATAAACAGGTCTCTTTCTACAAAATGGAGTGCCCCGACGGCAAAAAAAAACAGAAAATCTGATTTATAGGGGGCCCAAGGCCTACCATTTTGAATGAACGCGTGCTGTTGTTGACTTGCTGAATCTGCATGGGCTGCTTGTGACTGCAGTTGGAAATCGCAAAATCAAAGAACGCGGAGATCATCTATTCTACTCAATTACTGCAAATCTAAACTAGCAAGCCATGAGAGTATGACAATGTATGACATGGGAGTTTGTATGAGTACGCTTTCCAAAATCCTGCCTCCATCATGAGAGCATGTGTGTCCGTCATCTTCTTCTGGATTTTCTGTTCGAGGAGCCAAATATATTTTGCTAGTGTTTGCTGATCACGGAGTGCCATAACTTCGTGAACTTCAGCTGCATATCTCATTTGCCTGTGAGCCTCTTCCATTTCCTTTCGTGTGTTGGTCTCATCGTCATCAACTTTCTTCATCACCACTTGCTTCAAGAAGACATCCTCGTTTTTGTGGCGTTGCTTCTTTACCAACAAGCTTTGAAATTCACTGACTATCGAGGATGCCTCTTCTTTGCTCCACTTCACGACGTTGAGGAGCTTCTCATCCATGTCGCACACTTCGCTAAGTGGTTTGCTCTGAGCCAAGCGACTGCCACTGTCTCCATCAATTCCCTTGCGAATGTCATGGATAATCTTTGCAGTCACTGCCACACGATCTGCCCTTGACTGTGGGCCTTCTTTCTTGGCACCCTTTGGATCCTCTTCCATGACAAAGTCATCATCCCAGTCAATGCAGCGGCAAATCTTTGACAGCAATGGCTTCAGCTTGCGCTTCAATTTCATTGGAGGAGGGTCTGCTGAGACAAAGAATCTGTCCAGAATTGCAAAGAAGATGTTGGTAAACACACAATAAACAAGAATCAAATACGGGAAGAAGAAGATCACTGCCATCACTGGATTTGCACCATACAGCCCCCAGAAGTCAAACTCACCCAGAATGAATGAAAAGCAGAAAAGGAAAGATGCAGCGATGTCAATACATGGTAGAAAGAATGGTCCAAAGGAAACGTTTGCCAGTAATGTGCAAGCGAACAGCACAATACCCAGGACCACAATGAACCAAAAAATGTCCTGCTTTGCATCATGCAAGGTCTGGTTGAGGCGTTGCATCCGAGGGTCTTCGCGAATGAAGCGAAGTGGACGCACAAAAAGCAGCAGCAGATTCGCTGCTGAGATACGATTGTAATCCTTCTCGGTGGTGATGAGTTCTGATGTGAAGTCAACAATTCCTCGATAGTCTCCTTGAAGTTTCTGCTGAAGATCACCCTCCTTCACCAGCCAAAGGATGAAGAGGACAAAACTCCAGAATGACATCAAATAAGAAATGGCGTCGACTGGCCTGAACACATCACTTGCAAAGAAGGTGAATATTGTAGTGAAAAGGCTGTTCCCTTTTTCTGCGCTTTCAGCAACAGAACGCCGTGTATGTTCTGTCTGCATCTCCTGGTACAACATGATCGTGAAGGCAACCACGAGTGTCATATAAATTGCACCAGGTACAAGGCGGCCGATGAAGTATCCCAACTTATCAACACCCACATCCCAACCGAACAAAGCAAGTGAGAAAACACGGATATCTTTGTGCACTTTGCCAGCTGGTGTTTGGTAGAATGTCATCACAATGTAGCTCAGCATGTCTCGATTGGGATTGTGAGCGACCAACTCAATGACAAAGGATGCAGACTCTTTCACAAAGAAACTGCGATTTGTTTCATTGCCGTTCCCAAGCAAAGCATCCATCTGTTCCCGGAAAGTCGCTGCATCAGAACTGAGCTCACACACGATGCCACCACTTTGCCGGTAGCTGCCGGCTCCGGCACCGACAGTCTGACAAAGAAGCTGATTTTGGTGCAGAAGTTGAAAATCCAAGTCGGCATCCTCGGCTGCGTTCGCCACATCTGGGTGGATGATCTGAAAAAAGCCAGATTCGTTCACCAAGATCCCTTGAATTTCGTCACCTGAGTCATCAAATCCTCCAACAAAGCGCTCATCCTCTGGCGTTGCTGAGCTGCGGCTGCCCCGATTTTGCATGCGTTTGCTCCTTTTCTGAGTGATTCTGGCAATGTTTTGAGAGCCATCCGTTTGATTTTGGCTTGCTCCTGTGATCAAACAGTTCCAACTCCGCAAGCAATTCATGCCAGAACTGATCAGTTGCTGCGTAGTGGACGTCTCCATGAATGCTTGAGCCGTGGAATTGAAGATGATCGCTGGAAGACCAACTCGCATCCAAGAAGCTACTTGAGACCATGTCGAGATATCATCCCATGACTGAGCAGCTGTCTTGCCGAAAGGGAGTGGCATTTCAACTTCAGTATTGCGAACCACAGCTTCCACAGCAAGCCTGAGTTGATTTTTCTCCTCCACCAGCATGTTGACGTAGAGAAAGCCAATGTAGCACCCAACCATCAGAAAGTAAACGCAAGCTGTACAAAGCCCGTCTTTTGCACTCTTCTTGGTGTCCCTTTCTCTGTACTCTTCGACTTTCTGACGGACTCCAGGATCTAGAGTGGTGAGATCGGGGCCTTTGACTGCACCACCAAAAGTAACCCCATCTTCGGCAAGTTCTTCTTGGCCTTTGGGCTTTCGACCGAAAGGAAATGGCCAAAACATGCGTCCATCTCGGCCTGCTTTTGTCTTCTTCTTGAGCTGCTTCTCAAGTTGTTCACGCTGGAAAACTGACTTCATATCCTCCGATACTCTATTGTAGGCATAGTTGATAATGGCATTAAACATCTGCACGGAGAGGAAGAAGAAGAAAAACATGAAAAGCCACATGAAAGGCACTTTCAAGGGTGTGTTGAAACCATCCATGACACTCAGGTCACCCATGAACAAGGAAAAGGTGCTCACGAAAGTGACCCACGGGTTCGTGAAGTTTGCAGACACATTGGAAAAGTTAGTGAGTGCAAAAGTGGAGAACCCGATGAAGATCACCCCAATGTACAGGATATAAATGATGATGTTGCCTGCACTGAAAGTGATTGTTCGAAGGAGAAGTACAACGCGAGACCTTGTGTGGCCCAAGAACTGTAGCATTCGAAGGTAGATTGTGAAAACGGCAAATGATGAAGTCACTATGTAGAAACCAAAGGTAGCACTTCGATTGTCGAAGTTAGTGTAGTCCTGGAACAGCCTTGTCTGCCGAAATGTATCCAGTGTTGGCATGTAGAAGTACCAAATGCCAAAGCACCCAATGCTGGCAATGATTGAACAGGCATTCACATAGCACCAGAAATTTTGCAAATAAGTTGGGAAGCCCTTTCCAATTCTGTAGACCAGATCGAAGAAGTAAAAGCATGTGAAGACCAAGTATGTATATTCAAAGTACTGGATCCAGCTATGAGAGATGTCCAACTGCAGAGTTTGTGTCTCCACACGATGCGCAAAGAGTGCCCCTGCAGCGCTGAATTGAAAAAATACCTTCACTTTTGTGAGACTCTGAAAGTTTGCATTGTAAGTCTGAAATTCAGCTGTCAAGCTGCCTAGCTGAGAATCAAAGAATGGTTCTCCAAGAAAGTCTTCGAGGCCAAGAGTTCCAGATCTCGTCAGGTTCCCATCACAATGATTTAGCATTGGGTCTGGAGCAAGACCTGAAACATCTGAACTGTCAACCAAGTGAACCAATGTGCCAGAAGCCGATGTCGTTGCCACTGCAATGTATCCTCCCATCTGGTTGTAACCTGATCCCAGGAAGTTGACACAGCGACCCTTGCCTATAGCCTACAGCCCAATGAAGACGACCCTGCTGATTTGGAAGTATCAAACCTATACCAAGTTTTTCCAACATGTGGAGAAGCATATATTCCAAGCAATAATGTATTGACACTTAGAAAATCTTTCAAAATACAATAACATACAATAAATGTGTTCAAAAGATCCAAAGAGGATCCAAATATATCCAAATCGTGAAGTCGAGTAAACCTCCTCAATTGGTCAGATGATTTTTTGCCGGTTCAAAAATCTCACCAAGTCATGCCTACATTATGAGCTGCCGTATGCAACCGAGGAGCCTGTGTTAGAACAGCTTTTGCACGCAGGAGTGTAGAGCCAACTAAGAGTACTGGGCGTACTTGCCACAATAGGCGAGGTTGCCTCTATGTCGGAGCCCGCAAGGTCTGTACCAGGATCGATTGTGAAAGCTTTCCACGTTTGCGGGTAAAATGCAGAGAAGCGCGTTGTGGTGGACGCAGCTGCATCACTGCTAAGTTTGACTCGCCTGAAGCTCAGTGTAATTGAAGATGCATTCAGGCAAATCCCACTGGTAGGTGTGACCCTGTTGTGCAGGTTCAACGACAGCGGGTTGCTGTACTCATCTGTATTGCCAGCAGCTTGCAATGAATTACAAAGCCATCGAAGCCAACTTTGAACATCTTTCACATCTTTGATGTCATTGAACTTTCGCGGTCTTGGTTCAAACTCAAAGTACTGCTCGGTCAAAGCAGACTTCGTTCCATCATTGGCAATTGACAAGTCTTCGACTTGACTTCGTGCCTTGATGACAAAAGTCGCAATGAACGCATAGATTGCGAAGCGAATCACCTTGGTTTTGGGCATGTGCAATGCAGTTGCAACGCAATTGCAGCGAATCTCATAGATATAATCACAAACTGAAGGTTTTCTCGTCCTTTTTTCAGTTGGAATGATGCGCAGGAAGTAAACCTAATGGGATACCTGCTCCGAATTTTTTATTCAAAAGGTCTTTGTAGATAGTCAAAATAAATTCAAGGTCTCTATAGATACCTGAGAAGATGAGAACGAAAACCAATGTTTTTTCTCGCCGAAATAATCTCGCTGGTTGTATCATATCTCAAAGCAAGAGAAAATGTAGGTTGGAAAGTCAGGAGGAAGGTTAATTAAGTGGGTAAATTTGACAATTGCTGACAATGCGGGAGTGATCTTGTTGTTGAAAACGACTGGGGTTGGCTTGATTCTGCTGCTTCTCTTTAGCATTACATCTGTGATGTTTGTTGTTGGCTCCAGTCGTACATTGCGACGCGTTTTGGAGTTTCCTTTTCTGCTTGTCAGCGCGCGTTTATGCGCATATTCCTGCACGCCTGTCACGTGGCCGGGGAGGAGGGGGGTTCGGGTGGGGTGGGGGGTGGGGCGGGGCTAGTAACGTCTTTTCGCCTTCGTTTCTTGGCCGTCAATTGTTTATGTTGCAATCGTCAACACACTGTTGACGCTGTGGAAGGTCTCTGGCAACTTTTGACACGCTCTTGATGCTATGCTGTGGAAGTTCTTGCAATTTCGATAACGCTCTTGACGCTACGCTGTGGAAATTTTCTTGCGATTTCGAACACGCTTTTGACGCTACGAGTACGCTGTGGAAGTTCTCTTGGAATTTCGAACACGCTCTTGATGCTATGCTGTGGAAGTTCTCTTGCAATTTCGAACACGCTCTTGATGCTACGCTGTGGAAGTTCTCTTGCAGTTTTCAACAAGGAGTGCCTGGTTCTCAACCAAAACAACTCTTGTCTGTTCGAGTGACCACTGAGGTGAGGAAAAATGGTTGTCCTTCAGGCAAATCACCTGTCAAAAAGAAGGTTCCAAAAAAAGTACTAGTTTGATGCCAAAACTACCATGTCGCTGTAGCGAAACAGCAATCGGCATTAAAAAACATGCATTTCGCTGTAGCCCCGTTCCACATACACAAAACTGTGGTGGCAGTGAAAAATCACCTTCAAAACCATGACCATGTAATATGCAAAACCACAACAAACACCGCCAAAACATGCCAAAACCATAGAAAAACAACATGACGCACTCGGCTGCAATGTCCCTTTAATTCCCCGCAAACACAGAGCATATAACCACGAAAAGGCCAGGCCAACATGGTTGCATCGCGGCTTTACTTCCTATGAGCAAACTGAACGGTTGTGTAACTCACTCCTAGTGAAGAGGATATCGCGTCTGGTTTCACAAGGTGGATCTGTGGGAAGGCATTTGGCTATGACTCGAGCGGAGACAGATTCTGCTGACACTCAAAAGCCGTATGCGAAAACATGCCTCTACCCTTCCCCGCAACCGTGCTATGCAAAAACATGCAAAAACGATATGACCGAAGGAAGTTTAGAAGTCAAACTTCCGACAACATGGACAGATGAAAAGCAGAGATGGGAAGAGTCAGAGTAGAGAAGAAAAGAAGAAAGAGAAAGTCTCAGAAGAAAGAAGATCCAGGTGCGCGCAAAGTCTCAGAAGAAAGAAGATCCAGGTGTGCGAAAAGGCAGGAAAGTCCCAAAACACTGCGTTATGATTTGTGGCTCCGGAGGGTCGAAAAGTAGGCTCGCTAAAGCGGCGGGTGCGGAGCCAGCTGGTCAGATGAGAGATAAAAAATTGCACGCCGTTGTGGCGAGAAGCACATTTCGAAGTCAAAACGTACAAAGCACCTCAGCTTCGGAGCACTTTCGGAAGTTGCGATGTTGAAAAAGCGTACGCCGTTGTGGCGCGAAGCACATTTCGAAGTCAAAACGCACTTTCGGAAGTTGCGATGTTGAAAAAGCACACGCTGTTGTGGCGCGAAGCACATTTCGAAGTCAAAATGTACAAAGCGCACCAGGTTCGGACCACTTTTGGAAGTTGAGATGTCGAAAAAGTGCATGCCGTTGGGGCACGAAGCACATTTCGAAGTCAAAATGTACAAAGCACCTCAGCTTCGGAGCACTTTCGGAAGTTGCGATATCAAAAAAGTGCATGCCGCTGTGGCGCGAAGCACATTTCGAAGTCAAAACGTACAAAGCACCTCAGCTTCGGAGCACTTTCGGAAGTTGCGATGTTGAAAAAGCGCACGCCGTTGTGGCGCGAAGCACATTTCGAAGTCAAAATGTACAAAGCACACCAGGTTCGGACCACTTTTGGAAGTTGAGATGTCGCAAAAGTGCATGCCGTTGTGGCACGAAGCACATTTCGAAGTCAAAATGTACAAAACACCTCAGCGTCGGACCATTTTTGGAAGTTGCGATGTCAAAAAAGTGCACGCCGCTGTGGCGCGAAGCACATTTCAAAGTCAACATGCACAAAACACGCCAGCTCGGACCAATTTTTTGACGCTGTCGTTTCGCGTGGCACGCACAAGGGATTGTGCACCGTGTCAAAAGTGAGCAAAACCCTCATTTCCAAAAACGATGGCAGGCGTGGGACATTTGAAGAGGATCTGCAAAGATGCATTTTCCGTGGCAGGCGCAGTGCAAGAGACATGTTTATCAGAGCTGTTAGGGGGTCCCGGCGCTAATTTCCTGAGAGAGGGTGCATTTTGGAGCATCAAATCTTCAGTTTTGGGAAGATGATTTTGCGTGACAGGTGCAGCACTTCGTATGACCTGGCATCACTTTTTCGTGGCAGGCGCAGTAGTTTAGACAGATGGAGTGGACAAATCGCAAAGGCAGTGGTACGAGGCCGTCAGCTCTGCACTCAACATTCCATTTTTGAAGGTTTTTGATGTTGTCAAGTTCAAAAATTGATGAAGTCTTGCAGAATAGCTGCGTTTTCAAGCTTGCAGATAGACAGGTAGATGGATAGACAACTACAACTTCAACTGCAAGTACCACTACACTACTACAACTACGAATAGAAATATACTACGCTACATTACACAACACGAACTACACTACACTAATTACACTACAATTACTACAACTACTACAACAGCCACTACTACTACTACTACTACTACTGCTACTGCTACTACTACTGCTGCTACTACTACTACTGCTACTGCTACTGCTACT